AAAAAATTATCCCAAATGGAGATACAAAATGGCTCAAGTTGTGCCTCACTAAATTTGAGTTGTCTATTCACCCTTTTCTGAGAAATAGGGACGTGAACTTCATGTGCTTTGCTATTCCAAGAGTTCCTTGCAGACAAGGCTGGAATTAGGCTCTGGGTTGCAATTTCAGATGTGCCAGGGGTTATTTAAATGCAGTTCAGAAATGCTTATATGTGTGTGTGTGTGTGTGTGTCTCTCTCTCTTTTTGCAGAAATATCTTCAAATTCAAGAAGAGCAGTGAAGAAAAGAGCAAGAACATGGACAAAGAAGAGAAGTTCTTCAGAGAGACATTTATGGTGCGTGTCTTTCTGTCTGTGTCAGGGGAGGAAAGCAGCTCTGTGCTTTGTTTAAAATACTTGTTGTTGGTCCTCAGCTGTGCTGGGAAAGTTTTTCCCTGACCTGTTGCCTTCTCACCTAATCTGGGGTTTCCAGAGGAGAAAAGCAGCTCTGTGGTTTGCTTAAAAGACACCTGGTGGAACCTTCTTGGTCCTCAGCTGATGCCTTAGGATTTAGCTTTTATATTTTTCAAATCCTGCACTGCACTACTGTATAACTCTAAACTCCATATAAAGCATAAGTTAGCTGTCTTCTCATTTCAGTCAGACAAAACAATCCCTCTGGGCCTGATATGCAAGGACACCTTACTGCCTCAGGCCTAAAAATGTATAGACCAAAGTGAATTGAGGGGGAGCAAACTGGGGCTGTTATCTCCTCACACGGGACACCAATTTGTTGGCTTAAGCCCTTTTCTGACCAGAGATGGGGCAACTGAGAGGCATTTAAAAAACTTTTATTCCATTTTCAGTCTCATGAGAAGGGTGAGACAATATAGGTGTTATAATTCACACCATCACAATCAGAAGCCAACTATTTCCTAATTCCAATACACTCTAAGTGTTTCTTGGCCTATCAGCTTTAGCCACACCATGCTGTAAATGCCTTAAAGCCAGTAATCTAAAATTATCCCTCATCCCTTACTACAGTGCATGTTTCATAGTTCTATTTCTCCAAAGTATCTAGTGTTATTTGCAAGGCCCCCTTTTGAAACTTGTTTCTAGTTCCATTTCTCTCTCTGCGATGTCTGTCCTGTTCCATGGCATTTCTAAGTCAGCATTTCTTATCTCAAGGTTTGCACACAGATAAACACACTGTGTGAGCCTTCTGTCAGGCTTTGAGAATTCCCTACAAATCCATTTCCCACAATTACCTGAAGCTGTAACTGGAGGATTAATTGATATGTAAATGGAGCAAATTTATAGTTGTCTGAAAAACTCATGACCACCATCTGCCTTGGGTGTAGCCTCTGGGAGGCTGTGAGTGCCCAGTATTGAAGGCCTTCAGTAAATATCCACTTTTGCTCTCTTAAATTTGTCTAGCCTCTGTTCTAGGTAGCCAATTCAAGGCATCAATCCCACTCCCTTAAATTTGTCTGGCCTCTGTTCTAGGTAGCCAATTCAAGGCATCAATCCCACTCCCTTAAATTTGTCTGGCCTCTGTTCTAGGTAGCCAATTCAAGGCATCAATCCCACTCCCTTAATTGAATCTTCATCAGAGGCATCGCTGTGAATTTTCTCCCCTTCTCCCCAACGCCTCACAACCCATCCTGAAATCTTCTCCCTCCCTCCCCAGTGCCCTCACAAGGTTGCCAGCACAGATACAGAATAACTCCTGCTTGCTCCCTGTCCCCCAGTACGACAAGGAGATCCGCGTGCTCGCCAGGGCCAGCGCCGCGCGCTCGGTGCGCAGCCAGCGCCGCGCCGACCTGCCGCTCACAGCTGGGGAACAGCTGGATGTCATCGACGCCGCGCAGGGCCACGCCGTCATCTGCCGCAACGCCCAGGGCAGATGTGAGTCTGCAGCCCAGCTCTGGGGCACAAATCAGCTCCCAAACCACGGCACGTCCTCCGTGCTCAGCCAGGTTTTGGTAATTCCCTTCCTTTTTCCTCCTCCCTCAGATGGGTACGTTCTGGTGGAGCACTTGAACTTCAGGTAATCTCTGATTTTTTATTTATTATGATGCATATTCTCCCCTTTTTCCTGTGTGGGGATAGCTGGAGAAATGTGCTTAAAACTTCTGAAGGCAGGGGGAGTTAATGTAAACAGCCAGTATTAAATATTAAATAAGTATTTCCAGTTTTGCTCTGCTGCTGGACAAGTTTCCAGCCCAACTGCAGCTAAAAAAAGCCCTGTCCAGTCATGACTTGTGTAAATTGGAGATTCCTGACTTGCCTTCAGATATGCCATATTAATCCACATCTGCTGCAAACATGGGCCACTCAGTGTGCCTTGCCTTGCCAAAACACACCCTTAAATTCCCTGCTGCAGCATTTCCTTGCATGCTCATGCATAATTCATAGAAATTAGTCTCCTCTTACCCAGGTGGCCCTTGCTGGGAAAATTCCTTTTTTTTTCTCTTTGAGACAGACAGTACTAACTGCCCTGAGAGCTGCTCTCCCCTGGAGCATCCCTGAAGGTCTCTTGTGCTTCCTGCATCCGTGACAGCCCGTGTTGGTCAGCTGTGGGGTGATGATGGGAATGTAAATAAAGCTGGAGTTTTTTTACACTGTTTAATGTGTAAGAAATGTTTCCTTTTTTTTTTTTTTTATTTTTTTCCCCTGCAATTTAGAGCATGTCTTCACTGATTATTAGTTATTTTCAGTATTTCTCACTTTTTGGAGTACCTTGTTGGTCAGCTCTGAAATAGCCATTTCTACATTTTAAGAAAAAGAATAGTACAGTTTAGTTACTCAATCTCATTTCTGTCAGAACTGCAAGTTTCCCCAAAAGATTTGCCCTTTAAAAAGCAAACCATATAAAATGGAACTGGTTTTGGTCTTAAAAGTATTGGGAGAAGTAGTATATATCACCACTCTTGCTGTGTTAAATATATAAAATAGTGGAAAAGTTGACTCATTTCTTTGCAAAAATAATATGAAAAAAGAGTAAATAAAGCATTCAGTCAAAAATTACTTTATTTTTTTAAGCTGACTTAGGCATCCCAGATATGTAAGAGCTGACTCCTGGCTCCCAAGGACTTGCAGCAACAGGGAATTACCCAACAGTTGCCCCTGTGTTCAGGCCAGTCTCACACCACTGTGGGCCTGGAGGATGATTACTTATTTTCAGAAAAATGCTCCTAAATGTAGGAAGAGAAATATAAATTGCTAATGGCTTCTCCTCCATGTATTCAGTAGATACCTTTCAAAAGCGAAAAAAATGTGGATAAAGTTTTTACATGGCTTTGAAAGAAAATAAACCCTTAAATCTGACTGCAGTGTACAGCTTTTACCCCTTCCTGGCACATTTTAGGAGCCCATATCAGTTTGCTCATAAATATCCTAAAAATGTAAGATGTTTTAATTAGAAATTATTAAATGTTCCAGGCTTAAGAAAAATAAAAGCGCTGTTTGCCACAGGGCCATTTCAAAGCTGGCATAGGAGACATCAGTAAAAAAAACAGAGCAAATATTTAACATTTACTTTTAAGTCTATACAGGCATTCTTATTTATTTTACCATGTGGTTACTATTAAGTGCATTGGCCTGCATCCATCCTTGCAGCAAAAAAAAATAAATAAAGCACTCCCCTGTAAGCATGCGCAGCTTTGCAGCCCTGCCAGCCCAAATATTTGGATTTTTCTGGTGGAGAGGGAGAGTTTGGGGAGCTGGAGTGCGTGTTTGGCTTTGGCACAGGCTGGGACGTGCTCTGTGCCCTTCACCTCCATCCCTTTGCAGGGAATTGGCCCCAGGGAAGTGTTGGAGACAGTGTCTCCTCAGGTTTGTTTTGTTTTTTTTTTTCTATGGTGATGTTTAGGATTTAAACCTTGAAGAAAACACCCCCTTCCTCCACTCCTTCCTCATCCTCTTCCCCGCCAGCACTTGCTCACAACTCATGAAGTCTATTCATCACCCCCTCTGTAAGCACTAAGGGCAAATCCTATATTAGCCACATGTGCAAGCTCTTTTTTGCCTCCCAAGGAAGTAATTTAACAAGTTTTTCTTATTTTAAATGAAGGGGGTTTTTAGGAATCTCCCCCTGTATCCTGTGACAGACGTGATGCAGCCCCAATCCTGGTGCTTGTGGGGTTGTGCCCAAACCCCTGGGAAACACAAACTTCTGCACTGCCAGAGGCAGCTGATTTAATGCAAGGATGCCTTGCAATACCCTTAGAAATGCTTTTTGTTCCTCATGGACACATTCCAGTGCATGCAAAGAAAAAAAGAGCTTGCTATGGGCTGACTCCAGATAATACAAAAAAATGCTTTAGATACAGCAACTTAGATTTCCTCAATTAAACCACAGGTTGGCTATATTTAGGTCAAGAGATTGGTCAGGAAATTAAACTCATCCTTTTTTTTTTTTTTCTTCTTTTATAGTCTTATTGGTACATCCTAACCACATCAAAACTTACAATAATTCTCATGTGAGTGTTAAGCCCTGTTCCTCCACGTTTCTCCTCAAAGGGGAAATAATCACGATAACAGCTGTGAGTTGATGAGCCTGAGGGAGAACTGAAATTGTGTAAAAAGGGGATAGGATAGGGACAAATCTGGGGCACTCCCTGCAGCTGTGTGCTTGAACTGGAGTTACATCCTCCTGCATCACAGGCACAGAGGAAACAGGTGCCCAGTTTTGTCCCCAGCACTTTTTCTGCAGTGAAAGGTTATTTTTGCATGATGTCTTCAAAATGCTTCTCTCTCTTTACTCCTTGCTGTAAGAGTGAAGATCTGAGTTAGCACATGTAAATACATGGGCCTGGCTCCTGGCATGGATTTTGGGTTGGGGATGTTGTTTAAATTACTCATGTGGAAATTTCAACTACACACCTTGCCCCCCACCAAGCCCTGGGGGCATCTGTGGTCCCACAGCTGGGATGTGCAAGGATCTCCAGAGGGAAACTCCACCAGCCAACCCCAGCCTGCAGAAAGGGACTGTGCAGTAAGGAAATCCAAAGGATTTGCTGCTTTTATCTCTTTTCATCTCTGAGTTTATTAAAGTGCAAATGTCAACCATGGAGACAGCTATCACATGCAGTGCAGTACACCGAGAAACACTTTCCACACCATAAATGGAAGGAAAAAGGCTTCGTTGTGATTATCTGATGCACAAAGGACAAAACTGAACCAGGGCTCTGTGCCCTTCCATGACAGAATGTACTACAGCCATGAACTGGGAAACAAAACCCTCTCCAGGCCCCCAGTTGACAAAATAATAGAAAATATCAAGGATGGAGTGTTTACAGAGCTCAAGGTTTCTTTTTTTCTGAGCATCATGTTAATGATATATTTGAAGGGATGCTTCTACTCAGAACTTTTTAAAGTTCAGTATCTTTTTCTTAAAATTATAAATACATAACATTATAAATCATCAATACCCATTGAAGTATGAATTAAGAATTGCAGTGGACAGTCCAGTTTACCTCTCTCAAAGAGCTGAGGTTTGTCTGCCCAAAGATGCTGGGCCAAGGACACCACAGAAATCCTGGGATTCAGTTTTGCTTTGTGCTCTAAAAGAAAAAAACAAAACAAATGCATTGAGGTACAAACCACGTGAATATAACATGATACAGAACACATGAACATGCTTTCAGCAACAAGAATAAATATTACCATGGCTACAGGATCTACTTCACAGCTTTGTGAGATGAGGATAAATAAACTATTTCCAAACTTAAAAAAAATAAATCAGAGATGAGTCTTACAAATAAACTTTGATTTTTAAATTAAGGCAGCTTCAACAGGAACTTCAAGGCTTTTGTTGAAAACAGACTTTTTCTAACACCAAAAGTGTACTCGTGCTTGCAGGCAGAGCTCTGATTCACAGTCTAGTTCTCCTAATTTCAACAATTAAAATGAGCAAAGATCTGTGCAGCGAATACCAGGTGTGCTCTCTGCAAAAGTCAGTGTTCCATCAGTAGGTGTCATGTGGGAACTCTGAAACCCAGTTCACCTCTCAGGCATGGGATTGAGGTACCTCTGGCTGAATCATTAACTCCATGGCTGGGAGGCAGACTGGGAACTCAGAATTACAAGAAGCTGTTGCATTTTTTTTTTTTTAATAAGCAAATGATGAAAAAGGGATATATAAGGGGAGGGCTAAGGAAGCCAAAGGGAAGCACTAAATGAAAAGCCCATAACAAAATAAGACCTTAAGAAAGGTGACTCTAGTAAGGTCCATCATATACCTGGAACAAAACCAGACCCTAAAACTTTCCAGGGAAGGAACAGCAGGAGCTCGAGCGGGGGTTGGCTTGGCTCATCCAGATGTGCGATTCTTCTTCCCTCTCTCCTCTCAGCTAATAAAAGGGTGAAGCCAAATAATTGCACAACAAATGGTACTTCAAGTATTTAGAAACACGGCCTGCATGTCTCAGAGGGGGGATCCTGCACGAGCTGGGGAAATTGTGCACCTCGTGAAACAAAGCTGCCACTTCCAGCAGTCCCAACGCGCAGCGAAGGCACGAGTTCATGTCCTGCACACAGCTCCCTCTTCCTCCTACAGGGCTGCACGCTGACAGCAAACAGCAGTGAAATGAAAAGGAGTAGAAGGGTTATTTCGTTCAAACCTCATCAATTCCAACACGAATGCCACTATAATCACACACAGAAACGTATACACGGCACACGCTAACCAGCTGGCTCACATTTTTACAACACTGCCCATGGACTCCCCTGTGCTTGTACACACCTCGTGAAATGCTAAACTGGACACACAGCTGAAGATGCATTTCTGACCCGTTGAAGGGGAAAAAAAAAATATCCTGCTGCCTTTACCTGCTCAGCTCCAGCTCCTGAAAATAAACCTGCCCCAAACCCCACCAGCAGCAGGGCTTTGGCCAGGGGGGTGGAAGGGCAGGATTCTCACAGCTCCTGATGCCACTTCCCCTCCCATCCCTGGCCAAGGCCATGCCGAGCCTGACGGGGTGAGCTAAGCTACTCATGGGCTTTACCTAAAAGAGGATGTAAAAATAGCATTCCCTTTGTCCAGGTCCTCTCAGAGGCTGGGATTAGTGAGGGGTGGCAGTGTCCTGGGCACACACCTGCCCTGCTGGAAGAATAAAGCTGAGAGGTCAATGACAGGGATGTCACCTACATTATATATATATGCATGTATGCATATATAATATTTACATATACACAGCTTCCAACAAGAACAAGCAAAAGATATTTTTGAATTAATTCATCCAGGAGCTGGAGGTTTCTGTTGGAGCCCATCTGAACTCTTTATCCTTTGCATTTTATCTCTCTCTCCCTCGAGCTGAAGCAAAATTTGGGTGAGTTTGTGGCTTGCAAAGCACAGCTGTTCAGTGGCTCCTGAAGAATTGCACTTGGAGTAATTCAAGTTTCTGTAGTTCAAATATTGTCTACCCTGCTTTTCCCGACGCTTGTGCATGTACCAGCATAACTCAAAATGAGCTGACCACAGTGTAACAGTGTGGAAGTTAAACTCTTCCTCTGGAAAATGTGACTGGAGGTCAGCAGCTCCTCTGCAGCTGGGAAACAGAACACAGCCTATTTGAAGGTAAAATAAATAATACACAGAAGTGAAAGTCCTCAGAGTGTTCCAAAGTGCAGCACGGATTTGGGCAAGGCTGTGATGGACCAGTCAGTCCGATGTGGTCACTGGGGAGGTGCTTCCACCAGTCCTGCTCCCTCCACTGCCTCTGCTGACCCTGAGCATGGAAGTGCTTCATCTCTTTGTGTCTCTCCATATGGAAAGCTGAGTAACTCTGACTGCCCTCCAGGCAGGACTGGTTCTGCAGATCCTCACAGCAGTTAATGTTTGCACGGGTCGGAGAAGATGCCAAGTGCCACAAGGGGCTTATTCTACAACCTAGAAATCCCACCTGCCTCCAGGAAGCAAATATTTCCTCCCAAGGGCATTTGCTGCTGCTTAATACTATTAGTTCTGCTGGGTAGGAAATCCCAGAGGACAAGAGTCAATTTGAACAAAGACATCAGTACATCTCCCTGCTCCTGAGCCCCAGACTGGAACACACCAGCCCCTATCAAGGGGGCTACAGGTGCTGCCAGGACTTGGCAAGATGCTCAGCTGGGAGTGAAGATTTGAAAAGCCTTTAACATTTGAAATACACTTCACTCATTGCTGTTTCCTGGCTCTATAGCTGTTCCTGCTCCTTTGCAAAGGGGTTTATCCCCATCACCCCAAACCATTTTTGCTCATCTCAGCCTTGATCCAAAAGCTGCTGGAGGGCTGGGTGCTCCTCAGCTTTGACTCTGGGGTGGGGTTTGGGGTTTTTTTTGCACGCAGGAGTTTGGATTCTCCATCCAAACTCACACCACAGCACTGGGGACACAAATCACCTGGCAAGCACCAGGCACAGCACCAAAGCCATCCTCACCCCAGAATACTTATTTAATAATCATAATGTAATAAAAGGCTCGTTACAAAACCTAGGAGCACTACAAATATTTCCAGTATTTCTTACAGTCCAACCACTGCTGTGTTGGATTTAATGTTCAAGAGCTTAACAGCAAAACTGACTTTTTTCTTTTTCTTTTTTTTTTCTTTTTTTTTTTTTGGAAGCTTTCTACTTTGTGCGGCTTCTGGAAAAATTGCAGCTGTAAAGTCACGTTAGTGAGGATCCAAGCACAATCTGTAACAAAAGTAAGGCAATTTTGTGGTTCTTTTTTTAAAAAAGGGACTTAAAACTGAAAAGGTCCATTTAACTGCCAGTAGATGGCAAAAATATCCCATGTTTGTCTTGATTACCTTAAATGATTAGTAAAAAAGGCTCAATTTGCTGTTCTCTTCCTTGCTTCTCATACAAACTTGCAGAAAGTATAAATTAAAGTGCAACTGTACAAAAGAAAACCCTAGGAAAAAACCTTAAGGGGTCATAAGAAGCTATCAAAAAGACAGATTACATTTTTTTTCAAGTTGAATGACTGCATACCTGGGACCAGCAAAAGTTCTTTGCTTTGTTTCTTAAAACAGAACACAAAAGAAAAAAAAAAAAACCAAAAAAACCAAAAAAAAACAAAAAAAAAAACACCCAAAAAACCCCAAAAAAACAACAACAAAAAAAAAAACCAAAAAACCACAAAACCCAAAAAAACAGAACAAAACCAAACCCCCACCCAACATTTTTTTGGCAAAGCTTTCATAAAGCATTTGTTCCTTGATTAGACTATTACTTCATAATCAAGTAAATGGAATTAAATACCATGTCAAAGCCAAGCAGATGCCAACGCTGCCCATTAGCTTAATCCCGTGTAATAAAAAATAACTCCTTTAAACAAAGAAGTCACACATGCATTAGGGTTTACCCTTGGGTAACAAGAATTTAACCTTAAAAATCCCCGCAGTTCATCTTAAAAAATAAAATCCAATCCTTCAGATAGCCAGTAGCAAAGGAACAGTAAAATTCCGGGTTGGGATATCCCTGCCTGGTCAGCGGAGCAGCGACGGTCACAGTCCAGTGGGCAGCAGCAGCAGGACAGGAGAACCCTTGGGCAGGGGCAGTGAGTGTCCAGCAGCAGGGAAGGCAGATTTGGCAGTGATTTTGGGGAGGTGACAACAGCCAGAGTGTCCTAGGGGAAAGGTGAGAGGTGAGTGCTCCGGAGCTGTGCGCTGCTGATGGCTCCTGCCCATCAGGGATGATCCCAGCCCTCGGGGGAAGAGCTGGCTTCTAGGTGGGTGATCCAGATCCTGTCCTCTGCTCACCTGAACCCTGCTTGGGATTCAGCCCCTGGGGCCCGTGGTGAGGCAGAGGAGGGGGAGCAGGCTGGAGGGAGGAGAGAAAAAGGCAATCTGCCTTCAGCTCCGAGTGTGGCGAGTGGGTCAGTGCTGTGCGGAGCCCTTGGGCAAAATAAAGCACCTTAGGGACACTCCTCTGCAAAGAGAGGACAGGGACAAAGACTGCACCTTAGAGACACTCCTCTGCAAAGAGAGGACACGGAGAAAGACTGCACCTTAGGGACTCTGCAAAGAGTGGCCTCCCCATGGCAGGTTTGCACAGGACCTTTGCACATCCCACCTTCCCTGCCCATCTTCAGCAGAGAAGAAAAAGAGAGGGGAGGGAGGTCATATTGCACTAGTGCAGAAGCATCTAAGCAGCTGCTGCTTTGAGGAGAAAAGTGTTAGAGAGGCTGGCACCTGGGTGTGAACACTGCAGAGCTGCTTCATCACCCTCCAACTCCACCTCACAGAGCTCCTGGTCAACCACTCTGCCCTGGCTCAGCTCAGCCTGCCCCTGCTCTGCACAGCCTCAGGGAAACATCAAACTCCCTGCAGGAAGCATGGCTATGCCTCCGTTACCTCAGGATGAACCAGGGGGAGGTGTTTTCCAAAAACTCAGTGATAATGTTTGTTACTTTACAGCCTTAACATTTCCCATGGGGTTCACAAGGAAAGAAGAAAAAAGAGTATTGGATACATTTCGCCAGGCACAAGGAGAGAAATTAAGTTAATTTCCTTGGTGCCTTGCTAGAGGGGGGCATGTTTTGGGTCTGGACTTGGCTCTGTGGGGCAGTGAGGGGAGGAGGAGGAGGAGGAAGAACAAGGAAGCGAGAGAAAGGAGGGGGCGGACGAGTCAGCGCAGATCCTCGCAGAGCGGCCGTCAGCGGGCCAGGGCCATGATGAGGCTGGCACACATCTCGAAGAAGTCCATGGTGTGGCTGCCCAGGCGAGGGGGCACCGAGGGGATGCTGCCCACGAAGGAGCCGCTCAGGGAGCCCATCAGCGACTGGCACTCGGCGGCCGCGGCCGCGTCGATGCTCAGGCGCGGCCGGTGCAAGCCCGCGGCCGAGCAGGAGCGCTGCGGCGTGGAGGAGCCAGACCTCTGCTCCATCACCTCGTCTTGAAAAGCCAACAGAAAGGGAGAAGAGACAAAAATCTGGATTAGTTCGGCAGCTGCAATGCGGGTGTGGTAATGAAATGGGAACAGCAGCAGAGTTCGAAAAGCTCGAAAGGGCTTCTGCTGAAATGACACGGATGTAAGCACTTCAAAATGCAAGGGATGGTTCTTAAACTTCCAGCCTCGCCCTTCCACATGTTCTCCATCTCCTACTCACCATCAATGCTTTTGAAGTCCAGCAGATAGCTGCGGTTGTCCACCTGGTAGAGCTGCAGGCTCATCTTGACGTAGTTGCCGGTCACGGGGTTCTTGCGGCGCACCCGCAGGTGGTAGGCGTTCACCACCTGCAAGGGGAAACTGCCCTCAGCAGGGAGACTCCAGGCACCAACAGGAACACTTCTTTCCTTATTTTTTCTAAATATGAGCAAGACATCTTCTGGGAAAAACAGTTTCTCAAAAGGACAACCACTATAAAATGAAGCACACTGCTTCGTTTCCTCCTATCTTTAAATATTCTTCTTAAGGCGGTGATTCACCAGCTGCTGGCTGAGGAAGCTGCAGTGACCCATCTGCCAGGCACAAAACTGATGTCTGCTCCTCCCTCAGCAGCAGCCATGGCCACATGGACCAAAAAGTCCACTCGTGGGCCCACATGCATGGACAGTGCTCGTGAAATCAGGGCAAGCTGGGCAGAGCAGAGCAGCCTCTCCCACCAGCACAGCCTGTGGATCAGCCTCAAGCTGAGTATTTCCCCTTGCTGTTTCCCACCTCACAATCTGCTGCATCTCATTTACAATGAGATCTTTTCTCTGTGCTATATTTAAGAAGCAACTGTGTGTATGGGGGAGTTAATTTTGATGAAGAGTCACATCTGAAGTTATTCTTAGGGTGGGAAAGGCAATTGTGAAACCTCCTCGTATGAAAGAAGCTCTACTGCCTACACGGAGATGTTGGGCTGAGTTGGTTTTTGAGGCTGTAGCAGAAATACAGCAAGTTTGTTCACTCCCTGTAAAACCTTGCAGCTAAAAAATGTCTGGCTGGTGTGGGCAAATGCACCTGGCCACAGTTCATCTTCTGCCTGGTGCAGGGAAAGGGGGTTTCTGGAAGCTACTTGGTTTTAAACATGTATTATTATCAAAAATAAGGAGGAGGCAGGAGGTTTTAAAGAAGCAGAACTGTGAAATTCCCACAGTACAATGTTTGGGACCTGGAGGGAGATGGGAAGCTCCTCTGGTGATGAAGATCTGGGCTGAAATTCTCCTTACCTGGCTCCCAGTGCTCACATGATGCTGCTGCCTGTGACTATATGTTGCACAGCCCTGGAGAAATATCTGCAGTGAATACTATCAGCTGAAACATCTGGATTTAAATCAAGAAGCTGAGCCCTAAACTGAAGAAGCAATAGATGTCTGAAAAGACATCTGGTCCATGAGCACTGCTGCATCTCCATCAAGGAAAAAGCCACCACATCAATGATACAAACTCTGCACCCAAGTGCCCCTGCCCCTCATCTGTGCATCCTTTAGGACAATTTGTACTGTACCCTTTCTGTCCTGACAGGACCAGGCAGAAATAATGAGAGTTCCTCTGCTCAGGAGCACTCGAGATGACCTTGCAAGGAACTAGCCACTAAAATTAGAAATGTGAACAGCTCCTCTTATCCCTGCAGCCAAACAAGGCAGAATCATCCTTCCAGCAGAAGTCTTGGAGCACTCAGAAAGAAACCCCTTATTTCACGCCAGAAAGAAACCCCACAGACAAGCACATATAAGCACAGCTGGCACCTCAATTCAGTGAGTTTGCGTTAACGAGGAATAGCAGGGATTATTGCAAGGTTGGGGCATTTGTCTGGAAACAGGTGGGGCATTTGTCTGGAGACAGGTGAGGCATTGTCTGGAAACAGGTGGGACATTTGTCTGGAAACAGGTGAAGCCCCCTGAGTTTATGGGATAAAGGATGCGGGAAACCCACCCCAGCACTCCCTACCTTCCACTCAAAGTCCAGCTGCTTCATAGCCCGGTACACCTCAGCCATAATGTCATAGGGCTTGCTCTGGCTGCGGATCCCCAGGTGCCACTTGGCCTTTTTGACCGTCAGGGGCTTTGGCTTGGTGGTGTTGAGGGCGTCCAGGGGACAGCGAGCCTTGGGGCTGTCGGCGATGAGCGGCGGCATCCGCTCGGGGTGCGGCTTCACGCCCGGAGGGATGTGCAGGGCGCTGTCGTCCATGAAGGAGCCGGTGGGAGGGCTGGAGGCCAGGTAGAACTCGCTGGCCTGGTTCATGATGCGGCGGTTGTCGATGACCAGGTGGTAGGCCACGGCCAGCTGGTCCTGGGGGTCGCCGCTGTACAGGCTGTTCATCACCTCCGACTCGGTGCACTCGAACTTCTCGCACACCTCCCGCACCGCCTCATCGTCGACGACCGTGGCGTCGTAGGAAGGGTCCTCTGGGAACAGGTAACTGGGCAGCTCCTCCTTGAACCACTCGTGTTCCCTGCAGAAGGCAGAGGGGAGCCTCGCTGTGATAGATGCAAGGATGGGGGAACCACCACCAGCCAAGAGTGAAGCCCAGCTGGTGAACGGGGAGCAAAGCCCAGCCCAGTACGGGGACAGCGATGGCACGCTGCAAACTGGGTTTGAAGACCTCAACACTTCCAAGGTTCTCATACTCTGGGATTCCCATGGGCCTGGTGGAGATACAGAGCATCAAACCTACCCAACTCCCATGCCCAATACCCAATTCTCACCAATTTACAATGAGGTGAATGATAATTAAGTGTCTAAAACTCACACACTGCCTTGTCGATTGTGGGTGTACCAGTTGTGGGTTTCTCTGGGTCTGGATTGAAGGCACTTGAGACAGTAGTTCATGTTGGGACTTGGGTGTTTATTATTTCTTATCAGTAAAACAGTCTCATTACTGTGAGTTGGGCAGCTTTTCATTAGAAGGCACAAAATGGCCAATAATCTCTTGTTACAAGGTCTTTTAAGACTAAACTGTCCAATTAAGAACTGACATCTAGATTATTTTCCCTTTTAAGCCAGTAACTGATCCCAAAGAGCCCACAATGCAGACTTTTCTGTCCAATTACAGCATGCCACCCATGAAGAAGAAGGAAGACAAAGAAAGAAGAAGAAAGCCAGGATGACACCCTGTGCCCTCCATCTTGCTTCCATCCACAACATACTAAAACTCCCAAATCCTAAATTTCTCAGCAAGTGATACACCTACACTACTCTCTATAATCTATTGCACACTTTTGCGGATTCTAGTCTATCTTGAAGTCTAGGAAACTTTCTCCATGAATGAGGGTCAAAGTCAGTGCTCCCCTGGGGGTCAGGGCACCCCAGAGCAGACAGAAATATTCCTGGTGCCCTGTGTTTCCAGAGTCTATAGGTTCTATGTACTGACAGTAATCTTGCCTCATGTGCTGCCTGTCTATTAAGTAATTAAATCCTCTCATCCTAAGGAATTGAGGAATAAAAAGGAAGTTTGCATGGGTTTGCTTGAAGGGTAAAATGAAGGCCGTCCACTGAAAATGCATTAAAAACCTGAGAATTTCTGGAAGCCCTAATATGGTTTATATTCATGCTTAGCACATAACTAGATGTAATACATCCAATATTTACATATTAAGTTAGTAACTCTTGGGTTTCTCCTCCTTTTCTTTTCGATATACAGTAAGTACAATGATTAGCCCCTTTATCTGGTACCCATAGGGATATGGCCTTGAAATATAGTAATGAAAAAAGGCTGTTGGATATTATCAAGTTCTTGGGATTATTGCACACTATAGCTGGTTTTGCTAAGTGCTGTTAAGAGATTTTTAAGGCTAGTTTTTAATGCAATAAAATAGAATTTTAAATATTTGCATATAAAATATATATTAAAAAATCCTCATCCTGTTCATCATCACCCACTTCCAGCCAGCACAGAAGGGGTGCAGAGCTGCTCCTTGAATCACTTGGGACAAGGACTATCTGGATTAGCTGACTACTCCTGTAAACCACCCTGCCCACCTGCCAAGAGGTGACCCCAGGACAGTCACCAGAGACCCCCACAGGCAGCCAGCCCAGCCCAGCCCACCTGATGTCCTTGATGGTGGCTCTCTTGAGGGGGTCCACCTGCAGCATGTGCATGAGGAGCGTGGCCACGGAGCGGTTGAGGTACTCAGGGATGTAGAACACTCCCCCACGGATCTTCTTGAACAGGGTGGGGACGTGCTCGTCGTCAAAAGGCAGAGTGCCACACAGGAGGGCGTAGAGGATGACACCACAGCTCCAGATGTCCACCTCTGGGCCAGCATAGAGCCTGCACGAGGACAAGGACAACAGAAAGCTGTCACACCCATCCTCTCCTCAGTCAGGGTGCAGATTCTGTGTCACCCTCATCCTCTCCTCAATCAGGGTGCAGGTAGAGAGACCCCCTGCCAGCTCCAGCAGGGACAGAGCTCCAGCCCACACCAGGGCTGTTCACCTGGCTCTCCCTCATCCTCTCCTCAATCAGGGTGCAGGTAGAGAGACCCCCTGCCAGCTCCAGCCCACACCAGGGCTGCTCACGTGGCTCCCCCCAAACCAAATCTGCCTCAGCCAAAACTGCTCAGGGAAACGAATGGCAGGGCTGGCACTGGCTGCCCACACTCCTGTGAACAACCCTGCCTCCACCAAACTCTCCAAAAAGCCAAAGCCCACATTTGCAAGAGCCCTGCCAGGCTGTTTGCTCCTTTGCCCCAGAAATTTCTGTTTATTGAATGAGGCAGATCAAGCAGCAACAAATAATTCTGTCTCTGAGTGTTTATTTTTGGTGTGCTGGAATCTAAGTGCTTCCACTTCTGACAAGCTGCCAAATGTGCTCTCTGCCATCCCCAACTCAGGACATCCCAACTAGTACAGTTTTGCTGCTGCTACTCATCTCTTTTTGCTACATCTGATGCCTCCCCAGAGGTTTTGGGAGGCAACACTTGCCCTTGGGCTGTGAGGCCCAACCAAAATACCGAAGTTGAAATGCAACTACAGAAGTCTCTTCATGAAATCTGCACTTGCTCCTCCTGAAAAGCATCACTGCAGACACATCAGCATAGAAATCATGCTGGTCATGCACGTGACCATTCTCTGAACACCCCCTTGGTCTGCTTCTCCAAGGGTGAGACTTTCCCTGCTGAGGCCAGGGACAGCAGCAAAGCCATTCTGGAAAAGCAGAGGCTCAGCTGGATGCCCCCTCAGCTCTGCCTCCATGCCCAACTCCCACAGATCAGAAGCTTGATTCTTTTGCTGATAAGAGCACTGCCTGAACAGTTTTCTGGACCTTTAAGCCCACATGAGACGCACTTTTATGGCTCCGAAAACTGAGCTGTCATGCTCTACTGCTTTTGTGCTCTAGCAGAGAAGGCAGCAGGAGCCAGGAGTCAGCTCCCCCCTGCCCCACACAGCCCCCAGCAGGGCAGGGAGGGTGGACTGTGCCTGTCCCCCCAAAATGCAGCTCTGAGAAGAGGCCAGCTTGGCCCACTGAGCAGGGCCATGAAACTCAGGCAGCCCTGAGCCTGCAGGTAAGCATGATGAGGGAGGGATGCAGCTGCAACCAGCCAAAAAATGCAACACATGGGCTTGGTTTTGGTTTTCCTTCTTAGTTTTGTTGTTACTAAACTGCATTTTCTGTACCCTTGGAACACTCAAGGACTAAATCCTCCCTGCTGATCTGCCATGTGCCTTGTCTCCTATACAAACTGAAAAACGTGTCTGGCCTTCACTGAGATGGAAATACTATTTTTTTGGAATCCCAGTAGTTTCTGGCTTTGTCCCCTTCTTGACAATGAGGATTTACTTGGTTTCATTTCACACACAGAGCTGTAGTCACAACAGGGTTTTTGGATGCTAGTGTAATTCCTAGGATGCTCTGCCAACACTTGCTCTGGTGTAAACAGGGATAAAATAATCATAATCACAGCAAACACATTCTGAACAAAATGTTCTATTTAAAAGCTACAGATATAGGCAAAAATACACTGGATTAGGAAAAGTAAAGCTCATGGCAAAAGGGATTTAAATAAAAAAGGGGCAGATAATGAGATGGGCAGTTTGAAGGACCACTCAGAGGACTGAAAATTTGAAAATCTGTATTTGCAATCTTTGCTAAGGTATTACAGAGAGAATTAGTGCAAAATGTACATTCTATGTAATTTCTGTCACTGACAGCAAAATATAGGAGGCAACACTTTTGTATCAACACATGGAAGTCCAATTCAGCCTCGTGGGGTGTGCCCAGCACTCTGTGTGCTGTACAGATGTTTCATGCTGAGATGATGCAACCACAGAGGAGGTCTGTCAATTCAATGAATCAGTTCAAAACAAAGCTCTGAAGGCTGAGCCTACTGCCACAGCCAAAACCCCAAATTTAAGGAACCAGAAGACAAGTATTTTCTTTACCAGTGTTGGGAAGGGATTAAAGATCTTCCTGCTCCTTTTGTTAGTGAATGGTTTTCCTCGTTAACACCATGTTTTATATTACAGGTGGGCAGGAGAGGAGGGGGTGGCCTGGAAAAGCCTTTCCACCTGGAACCTCAGTATTTGCATCCAAAGAGTCCTTTTCACCCTCTTTAATTAGCAATATAAACAGTCAACATCTGGTATTAATAATTCCTCCAAAGTAAACACCTGTAGCAAAACATGGTTTGCTATTACAGCTACTGAGAAGTAAAATAAGCAAGAAAACCTTCAGATCTTTGCCAACAGATTCACCCAAGCACAAAATCCAGGTTGAAAGGATTCAGCTGCTTTTACTAGATGTGTAAAGCTGTTTCCAATACCAAGGACAAATTTAAACTCCATGTGCTCACACAGACTCTGATGAGAAATGGAATGTCTTACCTTCCAGAGATGACTTCAGGGGCTGCATAATTTGGGGAACCACAGCTGGTGCGTAGAAATTCACCATCTGACATCATGTTGGACAGTCCTAAAAAAAAAAATGCTTATTATACACTGATGTTTGCTCTAAAGGTCCAGACCTTTAGATCTGGACTCTGTGTCACACAGAGAAAAGGCAGGAAAGTGAAGTGGGATATTTGGAAGGGAACTGTTGATATAATTAAGACAGACTGCTCTGACCTGATTTGTAAATTGTTACTTTTGTTACTATTGTTGTTGTTGTTTGTTATTTTTGTTGGGTTGGGTTTTTTTTCACATTCAATCAAGAAATATTCACTCCAGGCTAATTTTGCTCCTCTAAGTTGCAAATCCCAGAGCATGGAGAAGAGACATAATTCATCCCAGAGCACTCACTTCATATGGCAACTGGGTGGGGCTGTGAAATGAGTAAATCTTCAGAAGGATTTACATTGCTAGAAAGGACTCACCAGGACAGAGTTGGTAGCCCGGGTATTTTAATGGATTTCAATCCCTAATGCCACTTAGATACTCCTGTTACTGCTGGTTGTAAAAATGAACTGAGGCCAAGAGCACATGGCCAAACAGAGGGAGAACATACACAAAAATAAACACACACAGCCAGCTCACCCTGAATTAGCTGCACCGAGCCTGCCTCAAACACAAATTAGGTAAATTTGACGTCGGGTGATTACACTCAAACACAGCAGAGATTTACAAATTACTTCTCTGCTCCATTCTCAGTGCCACTGCAGGAGCAGCCTGCAGCGAGTAATCCCTGCTGCTGCAGGAAGGGCAGTGTTTGTAAGTGTGGGATTTCCAGGTGCTGGTGGTTGGGGCAGCAGGCTCTGCTGCTCCACGGCCACGCTCCGGCGGCGCTGGCTGCGCCTCTGGAATGCTGCTGGGGTCACATACCAAAATCAGCTATCTTTGCATTCATGTGTGCATCCAGCAGCACGTTCTCTGGCTTCAGGTCCCTGTGCACCACCATGTGCCTGTGGCAGTAATCCACTGCAGACAGGATCTGCTGGAAAAGGCGTCGAGCTTCTGCCTCCTCGACCTGTGGGGACAGCAGAGGGAACAGCACTGGGGCTTGGTGTGCACTCAGGCAGGGGAAGGTTTCACTTAGCAAGGAGCCAAAAAGCTTCCAGAGTGCAGAGGGAAAATCCCAGAGTGCCTAAGAGCAGAAGCAGCAAATAAAGTAGATTTCTCACCCTTGCATTTTACAGTGTGCCAGTGTTTGACAATGATACAGCCCTGAGATGAAAGGTGAGACCTCAACAAGAATTTAAAGGTGGCACCTATCAGACAATGGCCTCCTGTCCCAATGGGACTGGTACAGATCCAGGCTGGACAAAAAGCCACAGAGGATGTTGCTGGGAGCAATTCCTCATGGACTTCTTCTGGAAGCAACAGGTGAAGCTGGAATATCGTGGTTATTTTAATTACCTGTGTAGCTAATAAAGTTGTCTGAGCTATATCAGAGAAACTAAATTTTCAATTATTATTTTTACTGATTAATTCCAAAAGACTCCCTTCACAAAAAACTGAGTTTATCAGAAAAGATCCAAATCAGTCACTGAGAAGATCTAGATGGGTAAAATGTGTAAGAAATCAGAACTGTACATAGAAAAGAAAACTGAGTCAGCTCCATTGACCACTACACTAATCTAACTCAATCTGCAGTAAATGTATTGATTTTGTAGCACACAGAGGGAACATGTGATGGGCTGATCCTTCACCTGAACCATTATTCTGGATGTCCACTTTGGCCCATTTTTACCTCCTTACCCTGCAACTGCTCCATGGGGCAGACACCAGTGATCTTCCTTTTAACCAAAATCTCACATTTCACAGATGACTTATACCCATTGGGACTGCTGGCATTTGAAAATGTTGCTCAGATAAGCCACATCCTTGAAAATTCTTCAAAGAACCTGACATGGAACCAAGAGGGGGGTCTGGGAGAGGTGAATGACTGGAGTGGAGATCACACCAACTGGTTTTCCCCTCCCATGCCATAAATTTGCTGCTGATCATGGGGGTTTTGACAGGCAACCCATAGCTAAAAATCACAAAAATAAGCCAGTTTCCCAAATATTTGCCCTGAGCAACACATTACTCTGGATATTTTGGTTTGAGGATGAAAAATACACCAGAGAACACTGCAAAAAATCACAAACAAGTTTCGTGCGAGCCGGTATGAGACACCCCAGATGGGGTTGCTGTGAAGCAACTTCTATTTTGGGCCTTAACCTTAACTGTGCTCCCTCGAGCAGGCATTTTGCTCCAGAACACCTTCCTCCACCCACACAAGTGCTGGGGCTGACTTGGGACTGGCACTTACACGTCCGTGCTTACAGATGTAATCAAACAATTCACCCCCAGACACGTATTCCATGACCATGAAGAAGTCTGTTGGTGTGCTGATGACCTGGTACCTTCAAAAACACAAGCAGATTTAAAAAAAAATACATAATTAGGAACAGGGAAAGGCTTTTAAACAGATTAATAATTCCACATCAACACTTCGAATAAGGATTTCTTCAGATCTTGCATTTTTAACAGCTTTCCACTCCTGAAAAGCTGTCTCTTGTTTCCAGCATAATCTTTCACTTGTCTGTGGAAGGACCTCTTTTCCAGACCTCTGATCTTCCTTCAGCCCTTTAAATAATCCTCTGAAATATCTGCCAGGCAATCTTACTACATTTAGGACTGCCCTGACTTTCAAATTTCCATTTTGGGTAAGATCTGCAACAACAGCTTTAGAAATGAAGTCCTGGTTAGCTGGGGGCAAGAAGAGGATCCATCTGGTTTTCCTCATATCAAGACTAAAAAAAGATAAAGAGCTCTAGGCACTAGAGAAAACTACCTCTGGACAGGTACAGAAACAAAAAGGAGCCCCCCCTAAAGTTATTTTTCAAATATCAAATCTCTCTAGAATGGGGGAAAAATCCAGAGCATCACTTTCAACTTGCTGATTTTGTTCCATTTTCCTTCAAAATGTTCCCTGAGTGCAGCAAAGACATTTGAGTGTCCCAGCTGGAACAAACTGCCAGTGATCAGCTGAGGTCAATGCAGCCCCAGGAATTCACAGCAGCACCAGCTGGGACCTCCCTCTCTTTTATTTCAAATTCATTGTTTTGTTACTGTTGTTTTGGGGGTTTTTTCAGATTAATTTCATTACTTTTTACAGGACTGTAATTTGAAACCAAGAGATTTCAGCAACTGTCAGAGGCTGGCAAGGGAATGTGGGATACTCCCATAAAGATCAATAACATCAACCTCATTTTTCTGAAGAGCTTTGGACCCAGACATCTAAGCTACTGTTAATTGCCCCAATATTTCTTTTATATACATTTAAAAACTTATTGAAAGAGGTTTGTGTGCCCCAGTCTCCTCACATTTTTATCACCGTATTTCATGAATGCAACATGTATCACAGGACACAGATATTGTCAGACTGGATTTAATTTTTATTGCTTTGACAAATGTGTGAACAGGATTTGACTTGCAGGATGCTGGGCACACAGCTGAGGAGTCTTGCTGGTGCTTTTTTCATGAAATAATACCAATCTGTTCTCCAATAAATCCATGGAACTGTGAAGTTACTCTAAAGTCAACAGTTGCTGCATGGTTAGTTATTTAACTGTAGGGAGAATTTGTTTTCCCTTGCCTCTAAGTCCCAGGTATTTGCTATATCTCATGCCAGTTTTAAGGCTGACCTAAATGTCAACTTACCCTTGCAGTTACCATTCAACAGCTTTCTTTTATAGGAATGCCAAAGATATTATCGAGTGCCTCATTAATGTGGGCTGGCTGCACAAGCTGGGGATTGAGCAGGAATCCCAGAGGCTGCAGTGCAGGTGCTGATTTACGACCCCAACTCAGGTTCATCAAAGTGGAGACTGTCAAAACTTATGTCTGAATAATAAATTTTGGAACAAAAAAAAAAAAAGTTCTTTTAAGCTCTGGCTAATCAGCCCATTAAAACATAAATCCTATTGACTGGAGGCCAAGGTTTCACTCTCAGAGCCTGCCCATGCTGCAATTCATGGATCACAGAATGGTTTGGGTTGGAAGGGACATTAAAGACCATCCAATTCCAAGCCCTGCCATGGGCAGGGACACCTTCCACTATCCCAGGTTGTTTAAAGTCCCATCCAAACCTTGCCTTGAACACTTCCAAGGATGGGGAAGTACAGCTTCTCTGGAAAACTTGTGCCAGCGGATCGTCTAACACACAAAACCTTGACCAAACACAATTTTTAGTGCTCTAATCCATCTCCTGAAACCCAGCTGGCTGTGTGTGAGAGGTCCTCGTGCAGAGAGGAGCGGCTGCACACGTGGCAGGGAGGGTACTCACAGTTTGATAATGTGAGGGTGCCGGAAGAGCTTCAGGTTTTGAATTTCTCGTTTGATCTTCCCCACCACATCCAGGCTGCGGATTTTCTGCCTGTTCAGTATTTTCACTGCCACTTTGTGCCCTGTCAGCTGGTGCTCACCAACTATTAGAGAGAGAGAGAGCATTGCAAAGTCACTAAACAGTGCAGCAGGGTTCACACAAGCAGTTTAGGGCACTGTAAGCAAAAAGCCACTTCTGAAGGGGGGAAAAAAGCAGAAGATGAGGGTGTGAAATATTTTAAAGTTTTTGTCTCCTCACTGTTTTCCCAGTGGAGTCGTAGAAGGCAGAAGAGAGAGGACTTATCTGCCAAAACCACTCCACTAAACAGAAGAGTGAGTTGCTGGAGGAGGTCATACCCCAAGCTAATTTGCAAGGATTTATAGCATGTAAAAGCTAGATTAATCAGAAACAGATATATTTAAATGGCAGAGGAGAATCTCCACTATAACACACTGGTAGACAAAATCCCTCATAAACCCAGTCTCAAAACTAGACCATCACACTTCTTTTTTTAAAAAATGGTATGGGGATTTTCCCTGCCCAAAATAGGACTGCGGGATTTGCATTACTAAAATGAATTTCTATTTATACTTCCCCCAGCGTGCTTCTTGCTTTGATGACAAGCTGCAGGAACACTGCTGGACTGCAGGAGCAAACTCTGCTTTTAGGAAAGATGCAAACTTCAATATGTTTTTTTTTTTAAATGCACTTGGTGCACTGAGATACTGTTGTTTATCTCAGGGAAAAATCATACCCATAAACTGGGAGGAGCAGCCCCACTGTCACTGGGGGAATTGTAATTAATGATGTGAAACTAATTCAGCATGGGATCCATTTGTTATCAATAAACAAACCATACAAAAAAAATATAAAGCCCCCTGGAAGCAAGATTTATATCAAAATTGAGAGCAGAAAGAGCTTAAAAATGTGGTGTTTATACCCAAAAAAGGGTTCTCAGAACCAAGCTGCCCCTTCTCAGTATTTTCCAGCATGATATTCAACAGAGTGACACACGGATGGTTTCCTAAAGCCTGCACAGAAAAACCTGCTTACAGTAAATATTTGTGCTCTCTAATTACCAACATCACCCTTCCAGTGCAAGGAGTTAATTATTGCCAGCAAACCTTGTTATTACATTATTAGAGCCTGTAATTTTGGCAGTCCTAATGAGCTGATCAGCAGCACCCGGGGTAAGCAGGAGGTGTGAGAAGGGCAGGGCAGCAGCACTCAGGGCACACCAGGTCACTATTATTAGCCACCAGATAAGACCTGCCAGAGATTCTTTCCTCAGTAAGAGCATCCTAAAAATAAAACACTTTACTGCCCTTGAAAATTAAAGCACCACTTTGCATGTCCATTTTATTCCTCGTAATACTTAAAACTACTAGATGATGGAATGAAAATAAACTCAGCTTTGCAGAAGAGATGCAATTTAGGGATTAGCTGAGGGCTGGAGGAGGCAGATAATTCCTCTGGTGCAGGGCAAGGAGAGTGCTGTAAATAGTCCAGGGAGGCATTTTCCCTGGTGAATCCTCAGGAAGAAAGGAGGGCACTGCTGCAGGGAGGTAAAGCAAAGTTTTTTCACTGAACTAGGAGGAAAACCCTGCTTTCTACCACCCTGTGTTTCAGGACAACGCTTTCTGGCCTTGCCTCAGCATATGCTTTGAAATTGTTTTATTATACACTAGGGGAAAAAAAAAAAAAGGCCATGCCCAGAATGAATAATTATTGTTTTTAATACTATTGCCAAATAGTTCATCCCCTTTCCCATCCGTGACAAACAATGTGTAACTCTGCGAAGGTTTGCTAGCACAAACACATTAATAATTAAAAATAAACAGCCTATGTTGTAATCCATCTTTTGCTTACAGTAAGCATTAGATACAGAGATATTATTGTTTCTGTCCCCAGTGACTTGTTAAGCCTCCTTGAACTCAGTGAGAGAGAGAGACAAAGAGGGAACACAATTTCCTATGTGGTGGGAGACTTTTAAGCCTTTGAGGGCTCTCTGAACTGCAGGAATTTAGACATGGGCAGTATGGACAGCCCTCCCTCTGCTCACAGGATCATGCCAGAAGTGAGGGGCAGGTCCCAGGTCTCCCACAGGCATGGAAGAGGATCCTCACCCCCAGGGTGGGCAGTGGTGGCCTTGGCTGCTGGTGAGGACACCTCCTTCTCTCTCACTGCCTCCCCAGATTCAAAAAGTGGAAAGGACACTCTTGACATTTACTTATTTTTATAAAAGGAAAAAAAAAAAAAAAGAAAAAGAGGAGCAATAGTGATTATAGCACCATGAACGCAGATAATAAATAAAAAATAAATAAAACCCCTTGACAGCATGGCTTTCTACATCACTTTCTTTATCCTACCAGCTCAGGCAGCACAAGCAGTTAACATTTTTGCAAAATCTTCAGGGCAATGTAGAAGCTTGTGGAGGGGTGAGGAAACTCCTTCCCTATCAGCTCTGCTGGCCCTTATCTCAGCCCAAAGTTAAAAATGAAATCCATCCAAAGCATATATTTAGCAATGCTGCATTAATTCTGCCCCAGTGCCACTTGTGTGTTGTCCCAGCCTCTCCCTGCCCTTCCTCTGCTCAGTCTCCTTTAGTTTATCTTCCCTCTGACACCAAGTTTGTCTTTCAGCAGCAATGCCACAGTGCCTGGGAAAAATGGGATCTGATCCCGACTGGAGCCCATGGAGGTGACACAAACACAACCCAAGCACTGCCAGCCCTCCAGGGACCACAAATCTGTCACTTCTGTGGCAAACAAGCCAGGCAAAGGAGCCACCAAGGCCCCCAGGGATGCTGTGGGTGGCATCACACACAGAAAATATCTGGGTTACTACTGTGAACCTCACTGTGGTCACAGCAGAGCTTTTGGGGACCCACAGGGTGGGACATGCCCACAGCAAACACAATTTGTCTCATCTGTTCTTGCCAACCCCCTGAGAAGGAGATGCCACCTCCTTCCTTCAAGGTTTTGCTAAACTCCAAAATCCAAGACCTCCACAGCTCTATTTCTGCAAATTATTCTGATTTTCCACAAATTATATTTTTTTTTTCTGCAAATAATTCTATTTTCTGTAAATTATCTTTGGGATAATAACAGGGAAAATAACTACATTTGGTAAAAATGCTGTGTGGCAACTCCAAGCCTTGACATGACACCTCCTGTCCATCCACCACATCAGCCCCTGCCACCTCCCTCTCTTCTAACAGATGCTGCGTCCTCATCCCCACTTCCAGATGGAATTTCAGTGTTAGCACCAAAATCCTGCCCTCAGCTGCCAGCCTCTTTGCTCCCCTCTGTGCCTTGTGTGGACTTTCTGTAAATGAGATCCAGAAATGGAAATAGCTTAAAAAACAAAACAGTTTCTTGCAGTTTTTGGGAGGATCGGCTCCCTGATGACCCAGGCAGTCAGGGCCTTTTCCTGTCGTGTCTCTGGCTCCTGATGGCTCCAAATGACTCCTCAGCTCCAGCCATGAGTTGGAGCCTTGGTTTGTACCCCACATCACTAAATCCTCCCTTTCATTGCCATTTCTTATGTCCCTAATAACAATAATCCTAAACAACTGTAAATTATGATTTCTTTAACGAGTAAGACAGCAAAAAGCACCAAAACCAAAACCTGGTGCAAGGCAGAATTTTAAGAAAACACATAAGCAGCAAGAAATGTCACTGATGGCACCTGACTTCTCCCTGAAAAAGCAATTATTATACCCAACACACAATGCTTGAATCAATCAACAAAACCCTCCACTTTTCTGATGTGAATACAAGTTTTTCTACAGCTCATTTGATTAAAATACTGTAATTCCATAAAAATGGGAGATTCCATTTCTTCATTTCAGTTCCCAGTCTCAAGCACAAACTTCACCTGTCAGTTGTAGGCAAAATATTAAGGGAAAAAAACATATAAAGTGTACTACTCACCTATAAAAGATTTTGAGCTAGGAAATCTCTTTTATGTTATTTGAAATATTTCTTTGGAAAATGTCCATTTTTACCAAACTCAGGTCATATGTGAGGTAGGGGGTATTTGTGCTAGTTAAGGGGAAAAAAGGCAATTGTTGGCAGGTTTAAATTGGTCTGCAAGGAGAAAACCTGCCTTTGGAGCAGTTCTGAGGTCTGCTAGTACACATGAGTGATTTAAATGGTCCTTACTGTTAGAAGTATTTATTCTGATAATTCTTTAGACAGTAAATTTGTGGTTTGGGATTAAACACAGCAATATATTTTTAGGGGCGTGATTAATGGCCACAGGTGGACTTAGCTGCAGTGGTTGTGGTGGTTTCTTTCATCTGCTGTCAATTTGGGTTTATTTTAAAACTCCAGGAACTGAGGGCAGGCACAGCACCAGCCACATCCCAGTGGGGTGGGGGGACACTGAGTGGGACAGCTGCTCCCCCAGCTCGAGCTAAACCAAATTCCAACTGGGAAGCACAGCTTAGAGACTGAATTTGGTTTGTTTTCTGGTTTTTTAGTATCTTGTTTAAAAAATGAAATTTGCACGTAACGGCAGAATCCACAGGGAAAAAAGAAACACAAATATTTGCAAACCTCACAGCCAGGTAAAGCAAAGCCTTCAGGATGTGAGCTGGCTGCTCTGGCACGACCAGCCAAAGAATCCCTGTGCGGAGCCCCAGCCTGACACAACCCTGGAACGGTTTGGGATGGAAGAGACCTTAAAACTCACCTCATCCCTCCCTCCTCCATGGGCATGGACACCTCTGACTATCCCAGGTTGCTCCAAGCCCCTTCCAACCTGGCTTTGAACACTTCCAGGGATGAACAGCTTCCCTGGAAGGAAGCTGAACACCTGCACAGGGAACAATTCCTCCCCAATTTCATCTAACCCTGCCCTGTGTCAGCACGAAGCCATTCCCCTCGCCCCACCAGTCCCTCTCCAGCTCTCCTGCAGCCCCTGTAGCCACTGGAAGGTGCTCAGGTGGCTCTGGAGCCTTCCCTTTTCCAGGTGAAGGCAGCCCAGGGCTCATCCCTGCCCGCCCGGCGCCTCCATCCCCGCGGGAGCCGCTCGGAGCTGCGGGGCGATGCTCGGGGCGGCAGCACGGACCCCTCGGCTCCAGAGCACCCCGGAACACCCCGAAGCACCCCGGAGCACCCCGGAGCACCCCGGACCCCCGCGGCCCCTCGGGAAGGGCGGCAGCGAGCAGCGCGTTCCCGGCACGGAGGAGCAGGATGCCGGTGCGCTCCAGCCTCCCTCCCCATCGCCTCCCTGCGAGCGCGGCAGCAAAGTTTGGGTGGGTGCTGCTCGCAGCACGGGCTCCGGGGGCTGTCACAGCCCGGAGCAGCGAGGGGCGAGCGCCGCATCTCCCCCCAGCCGCATCCCCGCCGTGCGCCCCGGGCACGGCTCCGCCAGCCGCTGCCCCCGGGGATGCCGCCCAGGAGCGGAGCCCGGGGAAGGGAGCGGAGCCCGGGGAAGGGAGGGAGGGAGGGAGGGAGGCGATGCCGGCGCGGAGGCCGCGGGAGCGGGAGGAGGGAGGCGGCGGCGAGGGGCGCGCCCGGCCCGGCCCGGCCCCGCCCGCGGCCGCGGTACTCAGCTCTTGACTTTGCCGAAGGTGCCGACCCCCAGCGTGTCCCCCAGCACGTAGTGGCCGATCTTCACCCGCCCATCGTGCTTCTGCTTCTCGGCCATGTTCGCCCCCCGCCGCCGGACCACAATGCACAGGGCCGGCCCGGCGGGGCGGGGAGCGGAGCGGGCCCGAGGGGCGGGGAGCGCCCGCGCCAGGTGCGAGCGGCGGGGAGGGGACGGCGCCCGCCGCGGGGACACCTGCCGGACACGCCCCGGGGACACCTGCCGGACACGCCCCGGGGACACCTGCCCGGACACACCCCCGGGGCGGCACCGGCCGGGCGACGCCCGCCGCGGGTCACAGCGCTCGGGGCGGCGTTCGCTGCGGGCACGCACCTGCCGGGGGCGGCATGGCATCCTTTTAGGGAGGCACCTGCCTGGGGTGACACCTTCCCCGGGTGACACTGTACTCGCGGTGCATTCTCTGTTGCCATCCACCTGCCGGGGGTGGCATGGCATCCTTTTAGGGAGGCACCTGCCTGGGGTGACACCCTCCCCGGGTGACACTGTTCAGGGGGTACATTCTCTATTGCCATGCACCTGCTGGGGTGACACCCTCCTCGGGTGACACTGTTCAGAGGGTACATTCTGTATTGCCATCCACCTGCCGGGGGTGACATCCTTTTAGAAAGGCATCTGCCTGCTGTGACACGCTCCCCAAGTGACACTGTACCCGGGGTGCATTCTCTGTTGGCACGCACCTGCCGGGGGTGGCATGGCATCCTTTTAGTGAGACACTTGCTGGGGTGACACCCTCCCCAAGTGACACTGTGTTCGGGGTGCATTCTCTATTGCCATCCACCTGCCGGGGGTGGCATGGCATCCTTTTAGTGAGACACTTGCTGGGGTGACACCCTCCCCAAGTGACACTGTGTTCGGGGTGCATTCTCTATTGCCATCCACCTGCCGGGGGCGGCATGGCATCCTTTTAGAGAGGCACCTGCCTGGGTTGACAGCCCCCCCCGCCGCGGGTGACACTGTTCAGAGGGTACATTCTCTGTTGCCGTGCAGCTGCCGGGGGTGACATCCTTTTAGAAAGGCATCTGCCTGCTGTGACACGCTCCCCAAGTGACACTGTACCCGGGGTGCATTCTCTATTGCCATACACCTGCCGGGGGTGGCATGGCATCCTTTTAGAGAGGCACCTGCCGGGGCATGACACTCCTCCGGTGACACTGTTCAGGGGATACACACTCTGTGATACACAACTGCCTGGGAGTGACACCCTCCCCGGGTGACACTGTTCAGAGGGTACATTCTCTAGTGCCACGCATCTGCCTGGGGGTGACATCCTTTTAGAGAGGCACCTGCCTGGGGATGACACTGTTCAGAGGGTACATTCTCTATTGTCACGCACCTGCCTGGGGTAACAGCCCTTCAGGGCAGCATCTGCCACAAGGGACATGGTTGACACTGTTCAGAGGGTACATTCTCTATTGCCACGCACCTACTGGGGTGACAGCCCTTCAGAGCAGCACCTGCCACAAGGGACATGGTCCTCTGGTGGCACTGTCCTCTGTGTGCACCTTCAATTGCCACGCACCTGCCTGGGGGTGACAGCCTCCTTTGGTGGCACTGTGCTCGGGGTGCACCCTCCCTGCATGCAGTGACACCCTCCTCGGGGTGGTGCCACCCTTGGGCTCCTCCCTCCGTGGGGGTACACCTGCCTGGTGTGGAGATATGGCCCGCAGAGCATGTGTGTGGTGTGCCTGGCTTGGTGTGGCACACGTCACAGAGGTGCTGGTGGCACTCTCCTTGGAGTGACAGCCACCCGAGGGTCACAGTGTCCTTGAGGTGCACCCTTCTCTGCTGAGAGGGATGCCACACCTGCCCAGGGATGTCCCCATCAGAGGGTGGCACTGCCCCTGGGGTATGTCCTGCTTGTGGTGCTGCTTCCTCCTTTTGGTGACACTGTTCACCAGCCAGGGGAGCAGCCTTTGTCCCCAGGAGCACATCCCCACAGGAGGGATGCTGGCTGTGAGGGGCACAGCTCCAAATGCACCCTCTGAGGCCCAGCTGTGCCTTGGGCTTGGAGACAAGGTGCACTCAAGGGACACTTTCAGCCAGAATTCCAAAAGATTTAATGGTGAAAAGCAGGCTGTTCTCCCTCATCTCCTGTGTACCACATAAACTCTGTCTGGACCACATGAATTGTTTACATTAAGAAAAAAAGAATGGATGCTCATCCCGAAAAAGCAGCATGATTGAACGCCAAAATCGGCACCTAGTGTATCTGGAAAGTGGTCCTGCCACATTTTAATAGCGTTAATTTGTAGCTCTCTGTTTCTCATTCAGCTGCACAAAGTAGCAGAAGGCAGTCACAAATGCAATCTGTGCTCCCAGGTAATAAAGAGCTGTTTGGGAAGCTGGAACAGTGTATGTAAACATAGGGTCCCTGATAAAATAATGACCAACTTGCAACTGTGCTATCATAAATAATAAAACAGCAGCTTAATTCAAGAAATCCAATAACATAAATAACTAAAATAACAAGCTGGGGGTAGAACAGGAAGGTTGGTGTAACACAAAACCGTTTGTAAGATAATGAAACCATCTCTGTTCAACCAGAACAACAGTACGTGAAGGCATAAGAGAAACAGCATTTACAAACACTAAACTCTGGATAAGATGGCAAAGCTACAATCTCCTGGAATGCCTGAGAAAGCTCTGCCTTCTTCAGGCAGCTGCAAAGTTGTCAGCCCATGCAAACCTCTACCCTGCAAGCTCTGAGCAGCTCTGCTCTGTTTTTGGGGTTTGTTTGATCTCCCCTTCCAGTCCTGGCAAGCCCTGGCTCTGCCTGAATGAAACACCACACAAAGAGGTGTGAACTCGAGTGGTGTTTGTTTAATGGTTAAACTAATATGTTTAACAAGAGCTGCTGCATGGAGATGCACTGTTCTGCTGTCCTGCTTGTTTCCTGAAAGCTGGAAAAGAGGTTTTTCACTAAAACTCAGAGCAAGCTGATGCCATGATTGTTTCCACCACCTCTTGACACACAGAAGCTGTCTATTAGAAACATCAAATTAATATTAATCATGTTTTTAACTTACAGGATAAATAAGGTTTGCAGAAAGGCCTTTGCTTGGCAGCAAGGATGTCCTTGGGTGGGTCAGTGCCTTCCACCCTCTCCACTGTTGGCGAGAGCTGAGGGCAGGGCCTGGGATGCTCCTGGAAAGCAGTGCCAGGGCTCATGCTTAAGAAGGTTTACTTAATTTCCCTCTGGCTTTTGAGAATCTACATATATGTGTGTGTATCTGTATCATGGGTTCCTGGTTTGCAGACACGGGGGAAGGGAGCTGTGCTGGCAGGCAGGAGCTGAAGGGTCTCAGGAAAAGGCTGGGTGGGGCGTGTTGCTAGGAGATGGAGACTCCAGTGTCTGGCAAAGTGGCGTTTTTATTTTTGGTGCAGATCACACAAAATGGGATTTGACTGTGAAGCAGGGTAGAAATCTCTTCTCCCTGCTTACATTCATCTCTGAAGGATCTGTTTTGTGTATTAGCGTTGCAGCTCATTTGAAACGCAAATCAAATGTAGACTGCATGGTGTTCAGTCCAGCTGGAGGCTGGGTGTTTGCAACCTCTAAGAATCTTTTCTTTTTCTATTTTCTTTTTCCCTGCTCATTGAGAAATCCCTTCTCTGAGCAGCAGGATATATGTCTCTCTTTAGGGGAGGGCATCCTCACATGCCTCTGGTTCCTTTGTGGCTGGTTCTCTCTTGTTTTTTCAGACACTGTGAGTTAGCAGTCGGGTTTTCTGGCTTTGGGCTTATTAAATACATCCTGCCAGGGCTTGTTCTCTCTTGCTTTGCTGCCTGTGCCTCTTGTTGCACCAGGAGCCCCCCATCCCAGCTGGCTGCACATCCACCCTCTTCACAGACAGGGACTGTGTGATGGCACAGGGAAAGCTGCCATGGAATACCTGGCCCTTACCTCTCCCTGGTCTGCTGCCAGGGCTGGATTTACAGGAGAAATTAGGTCTGAGTGCTAAAACATGGAATTTTTTGCACCCTTCTGTGGGATGCAGGAGTCCTGGGCAGAAACACGGGTCCCTTGCAGCTCCCACAGAGTTTTTGACTCATGCTCACATTGTGCTGGTGCTCCTCTCAGGCACCAAACTGCTTTCACTAGATATTCAAAGGGAATTTTCTTGGAAATGTAGGGGCAACCAGCAGGGTGCTGAAGGGCTGGGAAGGCACCAAGGAAAATCAGGGTACTGCCTTTTGCAACACTTGGCTTCAGTCACCATCGTGAACCTACAGAAGGGTTTGTAGCTGAACACCTCCAGTTGTGTCCAGCCTCCCCCACCAGCACCCTGCCCCTGCCACCACATTTGGGTGCTGTATTTTTCCAGTTCAATGTGGCCAAAAAAATGCCAGGGATGCTGTGCATCTGTTAACACAAAAGCTCAACTTCTGGGGCATGCTGTCCAACCCTTATAAGTGCCCTAAATCTGTGGATTTTCAGTAGGATTTGCATTCCCAGTCTGGTTTGGGAGAAGATAGTTAATGAGATAATGCAGCAGTGGGTAAACTGTGACATGTGAAATGGGATTTTTTGAATGCTGGAGAAACTGCATGCATCAGAGGCAGCTTATGCACATCAGATTTGTAACTAAGCAATTCCCATTTATATTATGTAAGTGATGCCATTTATCAAACCCCATGTAGCAGGCAAGAGCAGATGTTGAAACATTTGTGCTACAGTGTTGGAAATTAACTTTTCTGGGGGTTATTAAAATCATTGTTTATTCAAATACAATCTTGTGAGTGTAATATAATGGAACAACAAACAGTGTTATTCAAAAAATATCATTTGTGTGGATCCAGAAATTATTATGGCCTCTTGTTGGTGTTGAGTGAAAATCTGTGTGGCAATATGTGATGCTCTGGTGGGGATGTGAGCTGAAAACTCTGTATGAGA